TCCCTCTTTTTGAACTCTGAGCATTAGGAACATAGTCTGAAAAACCTCTGCTGGTAGTTACACAAAGTCTTGCTTTTCTGAGGACGCAAGCTCAGTGATGATAAGTAACTTGTGTCAAGTTACTCAACTTATGAATAGGACGCTTGTGATCCTGAAGTCTGAGTTCTTTCCACTTAGTTCCTGAACTAATTCTATTAATATTTAAACTAAAACATTGACTGCCATACTAGAAAAAAAATTTCTTTTTCCTTAGAACCAAGGTAGAGACATGTGAGTTATATATACTTCACAAGGCCCCAGGCTTAAAACTAGCATGAATTAAACACAACTTACATGGCAGTTAATGTATTAAACACTAAATTCATCAAATTATTGTGAATGTATCCTCAATATATAAACCATTTTCAGAGTTTTCCCTTTTCTCTTCTATCATTATGTGCTTTCAGTGAATCGAGCTTTTTGTCTGTATTATCTCATTTAATTCTGGCAACAATCCAGAAATAGATATTCTCTCCATTTTACAGACGGAACACAGAAGTTGAGAGAGGTTAAGAACTTTTCCAAGGTTATTTATATCTAGCTGGTGAGTGGCCAGAGGCAGAGGTAGAACCCAGATCAGTTTCCTTTGCCTGTGTTCTTAATCCCTGTGCTATGTTACCTTGATATATAGAGGGGGTTTTTTTGGTTTGTTTTGTTTTTTTTTTGAAACAGAGTCTTATTTATCGGCCTTGGTAGAGTGTCCTGGCATCACAGCTCACAGCAACCTCTAACTACTCTTGGGCTCAAGCAATTCTATTGCCTCAGCCTCCCAAGTAGCTGGGAGTACAGGCACCTGCTACAACACCTGGCTATTTTGAGAGATGGGAGTCTTGCTCTTGCTCAGGCTGGTCTTGAACCTGTGAGCTCAGGCAGTCCACTCACCTTGGCCTTCCAGAGTGCTAGGAAGAGATATTTTAAAGAAGGAAGAAGAGGACTTAAGGAAGACTGCTAAAAAATGAAAAATATGTGATTTAGACATGTCTGATAATTCTTCCTATGAATGTCACAGAGATATGAAGATAATAAATGTGCACCTGTGATTAAGCATCGGTGTGTACTGTTTTCTGAAACAATAAGGCTGGAGCAGGAGAATCTCTTGAGTGTAACAGTTACTGGCTGCAGTACTCTATGATCGTGCCTGGGCAACTTAGTGAGACTTTGTTTCTAAGGAAAAAAAGAGTAACTCTGTGATACTATGATTTCCTTGTTTGGTTTTTACATGTTTGTGAAATTATCTTACATTAGTAAAAAATTTTAAGTCACTTATATTTAGCAATTAAGAAATTCTCATGTAGAGAGAATATATGTAGGTGACTATGGAAGTTTTGAGACTGTGTTGTGGCTCATTATTTCACTTTCCAGAAACACGGTTGACAGCATCTTTCTGATTCACCGATGCAAGTTTCACCTTGCTTAGCTTATTGGTATTGCTGGGACGGCTTCATTCACTTCCATCTGGGCAGATTATACTCTTCTTTTTTTTTTTAGAGACAGAGTCTCGCTTAGTTGCTCTGAGGTTGAGTGCCATGGCATCATTGCTCACAGTAACCTCAAACTCTTGGGCTCAAGTGTTTCTCTTGCTTTAGCATCCTGAGTAGCAGGGACTACAGGAACCTGCCACAATGCCTGGCTATTTTTAGAGATGAGGTCTTGCTCTGGCTCAGGCTGGTCTAGAACTCCTGAGCTCAAGCAATCTGGCCACCTCAGCCTCCAGAGTGCTGGTATTACAGGCATGAGCCACTACAC